GCTATTAATAATTCCGCTAGCCCGGATAAACTTATACCTATATTACTAGTTTTTAGCGCCTACCCTTAAATAACTAACAATTCTTTATTATCTCCCTCTATTATATAATAAGCCGAGGCTATTTATAAGGCAATAAAGGAGGTGTAATATCTCTACGCTATACGCTAGGTTAATAACGTACTAGGAATAAGAAATGGCCTAAATACCTTAACTACGCTTAATCTGCCACTCTAGTCTAAAGTACACGTATAGCGTAAAAAGGGAGGATAATTAGGCCTATATTAACTTATTATAATTAATAGTTAAACTTATACTATTCAGATACCTTATAGACCCACTTAATTTCATTTAACTGTTATTAAGCCTTACTATAAAAATAATAATTCTAAGCCTTTATAGGATACCCTAGAAGATGCCCTAAAAGAGAACTATAATTAACATACTCTAGAAGACGACTATAATCCTAATATAATTGTAGTAGATACGCTATAACCATAACGCGGTAGAGGTCGCCTAAAGGGATTACAAAATTACTAATATCTTATTAATTTTAAAGAACAATTTATTGCCGCTATTAAGAATAGAGTTAAGTTATTAATGGCCTTTATAATAGCTAAAGAGAAGGCTAACTTTAAGCTCGCAAAATAGCTTTAAAAGGAAGGTTATATTATAACCCTAGGAGCTCCTTTCCAAGCATCTAATAAGTAGGAGATTAACGGTCTTATTATAAGAGGAGTCTTTAAATTTAAGAAGTATAACCCTACTAAGTTTAATAAAGTTCGTATCTTTAAGTTAAAAATAGTTAACGAGATTAAAGGCAAAGCTATTAACGCCCTATTTAAGAAATTAAGGCTTATTATCTAAAGTTACAATAATAATAGTAAGAAGGTAATTCTTATGCAATCTTCTATAATTTAACGAGCTAGTTAGTAAGTTATTATTGCGCTAGCTCCCTCCTTAATAAAGAATAGAATGGCGGTTTATTTATAAGATATTACTTAAGTCTATACCTAATTAGAGACGTACCTTTAGCACTTAATATTAGCATACCTTCTAGAGTAAATTTGCCACTAGTATCCTAAAGGTACAATTATAGTTGTGCTTAAGCTATTATATAGAATTGTAAAGGTAGGAATTTACTAGTAGGCTATCTATAGCAAGCACCATAAAGAGAAGCTTTTAATAACTACTTCTATATTTAATCCCTACTTCCTTATTATAACTATAGGAACTCCATTTGGAATTATCGGCATATAAACTAATAATATAATTATCTTAGGGGATGACTAATTCTTAGCTCTTAAAGAAGATAAGCTAGTAAAAGCAAATCTTATAGTAAAGCTAAAAGAAAAGCTTAATTTAATAATACTATTACTCTTTAATAGATACATTCTCTCCCTAAATAAGAATTCTATTGCTTTACGCTAGAAGGGTTAAGATAAGAAGATTAACGTTATTAATATTAATTCCCTAAAGTAAGGATATATAGAGCAACGCGCTTATAGAGCTTATATTACTTCTATCTATTAACCTAAGGCTTTATTTAACCTCTCTATTACCGCCTAATACTAGGAACTAACTAAGGATAACGTTCTTACCCTAAATAAACGTCTTTCCTAGCAAATAAACTATCTTAATTGGGGACTACTCTATATACCTATTAATCTTCCTACCACTAAGCTCTTTATATTTATTAATAGATTATTTATAAATAATAAAGATTTTAGCTCCTAATTAGGATATAAGATTATTATCACAAATAAATTTACTAGAGAGAATAACTTTATAATCTATAATAATCTTATCTATTAGAGCTTAACTAAGAGTAAGCGCATTACCTAAAGTGTTTTAGCGTTAGAGATATATAGAATAGTTAGCGGAGTTAATATAGTAATTACAATTGGAACTACCCTAAAGATAATTATAGATTAACTTAAACTTCCTATTATCCCTATAATTATATACACTAACTTATATTCCCTCTATAAGTATTTAGTTAAGCTCGGTACCACAAAAAAAAGCGCCTTATAATTAATATTATAGCACTTTAGCAATCCTATAAGCGTTAAAAACTCTTTAAGATTTAATAAATTAATAGCTAAGATAACCTAGTAGATGTAATAATAAAGGTAAACCTAAACAAAGCACTAGAGACGTTTGTTAACATAAATACTCTATATATACGAGTTAAAGGTTAGGTTAAAAGGGAGTCCCTAGAAATTTCTTAGTTATATAAGGTCTTAAGATATCTAGGAACTTTAACCAGCGGTTAAAGTTGTCTAATTAGTCAGATTCTCTTACTAAGACTTTTTTTAAAGGGGGAGCCTAACTTAATCTAGCCAATTAGGATTTTCTATCCCCGGGATAGAAAATCGCTATTAGCTCGCTTACTACTAGCGCCTTAGCGCCCCTCCGAACACAATATCTACCTATAACTCCTAAGTAAGAAAGCACCACGTGCTAAAAGGCAAATTTTAGGATAGCGAGACTTATATTACAATAGCAATAGTAAGTAAAAAGGATTAATATTTATTATGCTAGTTAAGCGGTATATATATATAGATGGCAACTATAAAAGAAGAGTTACTAGTGTTAGGAATAAAGGCAAGTGGTTACTATATAAGGCATATTGCCACTATATATGGCAAGTTGCCATTACATACAGCAAGTTGCCGTCACATGCCGCCGCGGCACTAGCGTGGTAAGGAACCTTAAGTTCCTTACCCCTTTCTAAGAAATCAAAACAAGAATAACAATTATTATACTATCTACGAACCGTAGCTACGTAATATCCCCTTATAAGTCCAACAATTAGTAATAATCTTTTTGGCTTAACTAAAGACTTGTTTATATATAGAGCTTATAGCTAGTATAGAGAATATATTAAGAGTAATCTTAGTAAGCGTTAGATAGAGGACTTAACTAATATTAAGCCACTAGGTGAGAGGATTAGGAATAATATCGTTTACCTTATTACCGTTATTGGTACGGATCTTAATAAACTTAAGGCCTATATTGTAGTAGCGGTTAAGCTTACTAGTAAGCTTAATCCGCTTTTAATTATATATAGAAGTAAGGCTTTTATTAATAACTAATAACTGCGTATATTTATTAGCTAAATTATTATCGGATTTACAAGGAACCTTCCTATATCGCGGCTTAACTAGTTACTTATCTTCCTTATCTTCCTAATTATTGATAAAGTTAGCAAATATAGTTTCCATATACCGCTTGGCGTGCTTCCACTATTAAGGCCCCTGTTTCCATTTATTATAAAAGTAGGCTTATTTAAGCAATAGATAGAGGATAACTACGGCAAAGTAATAAGGGCTTTTGTCTTTTATTTTATTAAAATATTTATTAATCTTTTAGAGAGCCATATTAACGCCCAATTTAAAAAAGAAGTCGCTTTTATTCTTAAGGCTCTACTAAGTTCGCTAGAGGATTTAATAAAGGAGTTCTATATTAGTAATTAACTCCTATAGAGCGCCATATAAGCCTTTAACGCCAGGACTATTAGCGTTACCTTTTATATACTTAGTAGCTAATATAAAAGGCTTTAGGATCTTAATAAGCCGCTCTACCTACTACCAATTATTATTAGTAAGTGCGTCCTATAATAAATTGTAGCTATTATTAGCTAGCTTCCTCTAAGTAAGTAGATATTTATTAATTACCTTATAAAGAAGTAATACATAGCGGAGTATAAAGTAGGTTAAATTCCACTAAACGCCTCCGTCCTTAATAAGCAGAAGCTCTATATAATTAAATAGTTTGTCCTCTATATAGGCCTTAAGCTAATTCTTAATAAAGTCCTTACAGCGTCCTATTAATCGCATAATATATTTAATAATATTATAAACTTTACTAATAAAGCCTTTCTAAAATTGGACCCAACAGTCTTCTTTCTCTACGTTGGACAAAGCATTGAGGTCCCGGTTCGACTGCGCCGCCATCAAGACCCTGATTATAGATCGCAGAACCCGAGCTTGCACTACTTTGTATGGGACTGAGGTATTGATTATAAAAACTTCGAAGTGGATAAAGACTTCGTTTTCTTGGCTGAAGTCAATAGTGACGACCCAAACCTGCTCAATCTTCTTAAGATGTGGTGTTCTCTCATGCTGCAGACACTTACAAAAAACACCCTCCTAAAGTACCTGCCGGAAAATGGAGTTGCACCATACGCAGGAAAACATCTCAACATTGCGTTGCCTCTTCACCAACGGCCCAACAAAATCCAGGTTGAACCTCAAGATCCATCCATCTTTCATTCGCTCGATCCTCTGGTCCAACGATACTACGCTAGTCTGAGACGACGATTTTACGAATTAAAGTTTTCTCCAAATCCAAGCGTTCGGGCATACTACGAAAGTGTCATACGGCAAAGAGTTGTTTCTAGAGTCAAAAGATACGCCCCAAAGGTCAATGAGTTGTGCAATGGCCTCGAAGTGGAAGTCAGGGTCTCACCAGATAAACGCTGGAACACCTTTATCCAGTCGTTTTGCCTCTCTTATTTCGGATTCTTTATACCTATGACCTGGGGTCACCTGGAGGAAAAGGCACCTGTTCAAGTCCGGCCCGAGCTTATCACTGAGGAAGAATTCAAAGCCAACGGTCGGATCCCCAATGTATACTGCCTGAAAGCTACGAAACTGGATCCCGCCTCTCGTTTCGCCCTATTTGTTGAAGGTACATTTGCAGATGGGGCACCATTTGCTGGTTGGCTTCGATCAAGAGGGGACCATTCGGTTTTTAAAATGAATAGTTTTGTGGACATGCTTGAGGGCGCAACAATGCTGGAAGTAAGCAAACGTACTCGAAGATGGTGGAGTCTCAAGCACAACGATCAGAACGATAGGATTAAGAAAGTAAACGGATACAATAAATAAAACCGTGTTCTATGACACGGTTACTTCAATCGCTATAAGGGAGCTTTGTAGAGTATGCTATGAAATCAATTGATCTATATTACTAATAAAATAAAAAATAAAAAATTTTGATCGCACCAGGGCTCGATCCTGGGACCTATCGGTTTGTTAACAACTGTACGGAGATTGTACGTTCCAACACCCACCTTCAGTGCACAACAATTGTTAGACTGACGTGATAACCAACTACACTATGCGATCACTACTTGATATGTGTAGTTATCTTTTATTTTATATGGAGTTTATCTCAACTCAATCCATCTAATTTGCATGTCCTGTGACGCCAAGTCAATCTTCCCAGCACAATGTTAAAGTCTTTATTTTCCAAATAGTAATATATAGTTTGTTAATACTCTGCTATTAATTAGTACCTTAAATTTCCCTTATCGCTGTTTAATTCGTACGTTTAGGTATTATTCTATTATTCCTTTAAGCGTTTAAGGCTCTACTACTAGCTCCCTCTTATCCTATAGGCCTCTCCTTTTTCTAATTACTTAGGTTCCTTAACTTAGTCCTTTTTCGGCTAATACTTCTTATCGATTTTCTCTCCAATATACTATAGATACTAGTTCTGTCGTCTCCCCCTTCGCTCCTCCGTCGTCGTCGCTATGGCGCCGCTCGCTATATAGCCCCTAAGGACACGTCACCGGACGTCAAATACCAGACACATCACAACCTCTACTACAACCTGTCTACAGCTATCGCGCTGCAGACGACCTCCACCATCACCTGTCTACAGCCATCGCGCTGCAGACGACCTCTACCACAACCTGTCTACAGCCATCGCGCTGCGGACGACCTCTACCACAACCTGTCTACAGCCGTCGCGCTGCAGACGGCCTCTACCACAACCTGTCTACAGCCATCGCGCTGCAGACGACCTCTACAACCTGTCTACAGCCATCACGCTGCAGACGACCTCTACAACCCGTCTACAGCCATCACGCTGCAGATGACCTCCACCATCTGTCTACAGTCGTCGCGCTGCAGACGACCTCTACCACTACCGCCACCACTACCGCCACCACTACCGCTACAATATACCACACAACACCGCACTGTAGGCGTACCGCAGATGCGCAGATAGGGTAGCTACGGCAGGGGGGGAAGGGGGCCGGCCCGTGTTACTTTAGCACGTAAAATATAAGGTGTATAGGGGAATTGGTATTTATACCCCATACAAGACAATCTTGTGAAAATTTTTCCTTCTAGGGTGGGTTTATGTAGCAAGATTCGCCCTTATAAAATACCCGTTTTCTAGAACGTAAATCTAGAATTAGTAGGTTACTTTTAGGGAGAGTACCTACTAATTACTAATTCCCTACCTATTTCTTTAGTAAGGAGGAGGAACAAGGTACAGGAAAAAAAGTCGTATAGAAATAACTGTTAGTTATCTCCAAACTGGCAAACTATCTAGGGCCCTTTGTTTTTATATGCAAAAATGTTACTAAATCTATCTTTTAGAGCGCTTTTTCTACTCTAGGAATAGCAGAATACGGCAGAAATAGATAAAAGAGCTAGGATTTCTTTATTTCCTTAGTGTAAACTAAATATTAAAGAGCAAAATATCAGGACAAAACTCCCCTAGCACTTAAAACCGGGCCAAAGTGTCCACTTAGTTACTAGTGCATGTTAAGCTGCCTTAGAAGGATTTATGTATATAGGACTATAGCGCCATAGCCTAGAGGCTGCATATGTAGTATTATACGTAGTATAATACAATAGATTTAAAAAAAAGATACTAGTTCTCTAGGTATTTCTACTATTAAAGTTCCTAAATACTATTCTAAGGTTAGATACTATCTATATATAAATTTAGTATTTTTAAACTTTTTTTTACTTAGGTCCTAATCTATCCTATTTAAGAACTTCTTATTTTTAGTCTTTAGTCTCTTATATATTCTATATAGATTATCTATATAATTTATTGTTATGGCACTGTTACGGACCCTAGTTAGGGGCTTAACTAAAGACTTAGCGCTATATATATAGATATATCCTTTCCTTAACCTTCTTTTAGTTTTTAGCTTAATATTCTTATTAATAGACTACCAATTATATAGGCTTGCGCGTCCCTTGTGCCGTGCTTATACCTTAATTAACTAAGTCGCTAACATCTATAATAGTATATAGTATACTAGGTATTTTAGGTCGATCCTTAATTTATCTTCCTTTTTAAGTTAAAAATTTTATTTCCAATATATAATAGGTTTCTTCTCCATCCTTACCAGTATTATTACTTACTAATTATCTCGCTAGTCCTCTACCTATTCTTTAAGATTTCCTTTAATATTAACTAAAGCTTTCTTTATAGCTTTAATATCCCTTATTAGTTATATTATATCTAGTATTTAAAGTTTTCCTAATTATTACTAGTTCTTTATCTATACTATCTTTAATATAAATCCGGGAGTACTATATACTTATATTTTACAAAATATCGTCTTATTCGTACCTTAGTTCTAAGTATTTCCGCGTATTATAAGGTCCTTAGGTATTTATATTCCTTATTATTATTAATTTCTCTAAGCTACTTTACTCTTAATAAGTCTTTCTTAATATAGAAATTCCTTTTAATTATTAAGTAGCCTTTTTTAATTCTCTAAGTTTCTAATTATTGTTATACTTTTCCTAGTCTTCTTTTAGTAATCGTAGTACTAGTCTAAAAGGTACCTCTTAATAGGTCTTTTCCTTTCCTAGTAGTATCCTTATCTATTTTTCGAAATCTTAGACCTATAGCTTATTAGCCTTAGATTTTCCTTTATTAAGTAGTAAAGTAGTACTATCGCCTTAACTACGCCAGGAAAAAATTTACCAGCATTTAATTTTACTTTTCTGCCATTTTAGCATTTTTTAGCATTTCTAGCATTTCCTAGCATTTAGCTGCCAAATGCGGCATTTATAATTAAGTGTTAGTATTTAGCTACTAAGTGCTAACTATAAGATTACTAAGCATATATAAAAGTATAATTTTTATAATTTTAATATTTTATATATACTTTATTAATATTACTAAGTATATATAAATGTATAATTTTTATAAATTTAATATTTTATATACGCTTTATTAATATTACTAAGCATATAAAAATATATAATTTTTATAAATTTAATATTATTAATAAAAATTTAATATTTTATATTTTATATATATTTTATTAATATTAGTAAGTATAGGGGGCAGGGCGGCATTATAAAAAAATTTACTAGTATCTTAAATTAGGTTTATGCTAATTAAGCNATTTTAGCATTTAGCCGTATTTAGTTGCATTTTGCGGCTATATACTATACCGCTAATAATAATACTATAATTTGCGGCTAAACGCTACCTTAATAATAAAAGTGCTATAAGCTGCAGCTTAATGCTCTCTTAGAAATAATAATACTAGAAATATTTTAGTTAACTAAGTTTACTATATACGCTACGCACCTAGAGAGGCAAAAAAGGAGCTCTTGCTGCACCCGGCCTAAAAAGACTAAAACCAACTAAAAGAACCCTAAAAAACACCTAAAGAATCCCCCTAAGATGCATGTATCGCAGGGGAGGCATACGTCAAACGACAGTGGCTCGCACTCGCGCGCGACCGCTAGAACTACGCCTAGCAATGGCCCTCCATAATAAAAACAGGCGAATACCACACCATAAAGCGGAAATACCTTTATTAAAAAGGCATCTAATAAAATATAAAGCCTATTAGACGCGTCTAGTATTTAAAATTATAGGGAAGTAACTGTTAGCCATAATAAACTAATATAACTAGTAGAATGGCTCTACTAGTCTAGCGAACCTTAGGCGCCCCTCTAGCAAACCCTTAATTAAATCCTCTAACGGCTAAGTAAAATTAAAAATAAGTATAACCCCCCCTTACTGGCGAACCGCACCTAGGCCGCCATAGTTGCGCTTTTATAGTATAGGAAACCTACCCCCCTTAAGTTAATAACCGGGTATATAATTATAATATAACTAAACACAGAATAAGTAGAGGGGCTTAGGGGATAATTAGAAATAGAAGTCCTTATAAAAATACGTAAAAAGGTCCATAACGCTATTATAGTCTAATACCTTAAGAGCGGAGATATTAAAGTTACCCTAAAGGACTAATAGGCAAAGGAACGAGCCGTAAGGGTAGGGGATAGGCTAGGAGAACATATTAGCATAAAAGTACTCCATAAGGATTACCTAGTTAAAGTCCTAGTGGTTCCTATAAGCCTTAGGGTAGAAAAGGGACGCTAGGCAGACAATATAGCAATTATATAGGAGATAGTAAGATAAACGGAACGCCTTATACCAGGACTTAAAATCACCCGAATTTAATAGCTTTAATAGGAAAATACAAACTAAGCATATAATAAGAATAACAAGAGGACATAAGGGTCGCCAGAGACTCGCTAGGGAGACACCAGACGAACGCATAGCTCCCTTATCGTTAGTATATATACACTAGGAATGTAAAAACTCCTTATCCAAAAAGGAATAATTATAAATAGCCTTATATATAACATAAGGCTCTACAACTATAGACTACGCTTAGAACGATGCTATTGCTATATATAATAGGGATACACCTAATCTATATACGCAGCATAGGTGTGCTGCGGCCACTATGCAGGCCCCTACAATACGAGACATTACTTAAATTAAGACTAAATAAAATGCGCAAACTGCCACTAAAGTATATATAAGGCGTAGGAGAGAGAAGACTGCATTAAATACAGAAGACGGAAGGCAAGGGCTTAATAGTTGCGGGAATAACTACACGCTAGGTTATATAAATGGAAATAATAGACGATAAGCTAGGGGGACATAGGTGCCTTCCTAGCGTTTCCTACCTTTAATACTAGAGGGCTAGGCCAGCCATCCTAAGCCTTAATGGGCCAGAAGTGACGCTACGCGACATTACTAAACTAAGTAGGGATATAAGGGTCACAAGGGACATAAGGGAGAGGACGCCCTATAGGAAGACCCCTATAGACAGCGACAGTAGGCTTAAGACTAGGACAATTAAGAATTAGACTTAATATAGTAAATATAACATTCGCAGCTAACCTATAAAGGGCATATAGCCGACTAGTAATAATAGGGGAAGAACCGGTAACAATAATAGATTTAGATATAGAAGCGCTAATAGGAACACAAGATACGGGAATGGAAAGCTCTATATAAAATAAGTAGTAACTAAGGTATAGATATAAGAGACAGA